CTGGTGTTTTGAGCATTCGAGAACCATTGGACTACGAAATTTGTAGAAATTATTTCCTAACCATCGAAGCTATTGATGGTGGTGAGCCCCCACTAGGGTTCGAGAATTACGGGTAATTTTGAGTTGGAGTAAAAAACTCCGGTAAATTACAGTAAAAAACTGTTTTTTTGGAGTAATTTTGTAATTTTGCCGTTTTTTCCTTTTTTTGCTGTTTTCAATATTATTTGAGTATAATTTACGATATAACTGATGTTATAACTGATGTTGGAGAAGTTTTGGCCAATGCAATTGAATTCCAGCACAAAGAAGGTATATGGAGTGACTCAGAAATTTTTCAAGCTGCTGAGCATTTGAAACCACACTCATGGTGGAAGGGTTTCTGTAACACTCAGGCTGTGGCTCCAATTGCCATAAGGATTCTTCAACAGCCCTCCTCTGCAGCTCCAGTGGAGAGGCTGTGGTCAAATTTTGGCTTAGTTCATACCAAACTACGGAACAGGCTTAAAAATAGTACCACTAAGAAATTAGTAACAGTCAGGTGGAATTCACTTCTATCACGTAGAAATTCTCCTTCTGATAAAAATAAGAAGAGAAGAACTAGAGAGACAAGTGAGTCATTTTACGATGCAACTGGATATCCTCTCCTACAAACTGAGCAGAATCCTAATAATGAGAGTGAAGAGGAAAATGAAGAGACTGACAACTCTAGCATAGACTCTGACTTAGAAGAAGAAGAGGAGTCACTTAATGACTCTGCTGATTCTCATTCAGTATGTGATAGTTTAAGTGATGAAGATGAAAGTGACTAAGAATTTGTTTTCTACAAATAATACCAAAGTTTTCCTTAATATACCATATTATATTTTTATTTATTTAATGAGTATTAGGAAGAATTCATACATTTTATTTTGTTCAAACTTAAGTATGTTCCTGTTTTTATTTTATGTTTTATAAAGAACTCAATAAAACTTGTTGGGTATAAGCAAGCTGTAAAATGTATATTTTAATTAAGAAACTTTGATAGGAACTCCTCTCCTTACTTCGGCACTCTAACACTTACTCCCATTAAGCTTCTGCAAATAATTTTTTTTGAGTAAATTACTCATTTTGGATCGAGTAAAAAACTGTAATTTACTGGGTAATTTACTCAAAATTACAAGTAATTTACTTTGCTCTCGAACCCTAGCCCCCACTAAGCAACCAAGCTACAATCAATATATCCATTTCAGACGGAAATGACAATGCTCCTATCTTTAACCAACCTTCATATTCAGCTCGT